TCGATTAGACTTTTAGAATTTTGGTTTTAATTTTGACCCAATAATTCCTGCATAGCAAGTGGCTGTGCAAGTTTGTGGTATTACATGTGTATTTCACTTTTACCAGTCAGTTCTTGAATATCACATACTCTTCATTGATTTTGTTTGTCCCATTAATGGTATAAAAGCTGAAGTGGGTCCAGACTTCGGACTTAAACATAACTGTGGCATCTCCTAATATTATTTTCCTCAAACTGCTGTCCTGCATCCCGTTGAAAACCTCTTTGTCTTTGGCTAGTTCCCTTTTTCATGTGTTGAGCACCACCTCAAGGACTGAAGCCATGAAGTAGTGATGCTGGGAGCAGGGAAATATATTTAGAGTGCCTTATTTTATCAATTAAAATATCGAGCATATCGATTCTCGTACCACACAAAGACGGACAACAACATATTGCCATGGCTTGACATTAACACCCACCAAATGCGGGTGGATTTCAGCAGTGACGGGTAACAGTCACCTCCACTGGCCAATTTGGTGGGTTTAATAATTGACCCCCCTACTCTTTACAATAAGTGCCATGGGATCTTTATGTAATAATAATAATCTTTATTTATAGAGAACTTTTTAAAACAATTTTACAAAATGCTTTCACAAGAGCAAAGACAATAAAACACAAATAAGATACACAAAATATACACCAGGGAACCAGTAGATGGCAGTGTTTCCTTTGCCATCTGCTGGGACTCGATGACCAGGATCCCTGCTGCTGTTTTGAGTTCAGCTGGAAGAAATTTGACATCCAATTTTTGACATCACAGAGGCAGTCGGTAAGTGAACTCAGCATTCAAGCATCTGTGGATCTGACGAGCCGGTACATCTGGGTGTCATCAGCATAAATATGACAAGAGACACCATGTTTCTGGATAATGTGTCCAAGGGGATGCAGATACAAGGAAAATAACATCCCCTGAGACACACCATATTTAACGGAACAGGATAAAGAGACATAGTTGTTCACAGACACAAAACTTCCTATTTGACAGGTAGGATGAAAACCATTCTAGAGCAGTACCAGAGATCCCCACCCAGTGCCTCAGTCTGTCTAACATGATGTTGTGATCAATGGTGTCAAAAGCAGCTTCTAAGGTCCAGGAGTACCAGGACTGAGCACATACCTTCATCAGCAGACATTAAAAGGTCATTGGTGACTTTAAGCAGGGCAGTCTCAGTGCTGTGGTACTTCCTGAAACCAGACTGAAACTTTTCAAATAATTTGTTGTTTTCCAGTACAGTGAGCAGCTGTTTGAAAACTACTTTTCTAAAATCTTTGCTATAAAAAGGTAATTTGGAAATTTTCTAAACGTTTGAGGGATGGAGGGATTTAAAGTGGGTTCACACAAGCTGTTTTAAAATAGTCAGGGACACAACCAGTAGATAGGGCGTTGGTGTGGGAATCAAACATAGGTTGCCTTGGCTCTGAAACAATAAGGATGCGAGAACACGAGGAACTTGGTGAGGCAGTATGAGGAAAGGGTGATTTACAGTTAAACACTATACATTTGTGGCCAGACAGACTTATCCAGTAATTCCACAGAGGAAATGCTAACACTCAGGGTAAAAACCAACTCCAATGTATGACGATTATGTCTTTGACCATGAACATGTTGTTTGAAGTTAAAAGAAGTGGCAATATTTAAAAAGTCAGTTGGTGGGGTCATCAACATGAACATTAAAATCACAAAGAACAATTCTGTCATGATTTAAAAGAGTAGATAAAAGTTCAGGAAGTTCTGCTAAAAATCCTCTAAGCGGTTTTGGGGGGCAATAAATTATAACAAATATAATTGGTTGCAGGCCACCAAGATTAAAAGTGAGAACTTCAAATGAGGGAAATTCGTCAGTGTACATGATGACATTTAAAATTTTTCCTATGCACTTGCTAACTCATTTTAATGACCACAATGAGTCAGGATCTGGTTTAATGTCAAAAGGACTGCGTGTCTTACAGCACAACGTCCCCATCACTGCACTGGGGCAATGGGATCTTATTATTAGCACCAGACGGAAGACTGCCCCCTACTGGCCCACCAACACTGCTTCCAGCTCCAACTTTGTTTTTCCAAGAGGTCTCCCATTCAGGTACTAGCCAAGCCCAAATTTGCTTGGATAAAGACTTGTTTTAGTTACGCAACTGGAAATAGCTCTCTTCCCGTATGCTCTCCCTGGACCCCCTGCCTGGCTAAACTATTCCCAGTTTATGCTATGAACCTGCTCGGCTCAGATCCCCACAATCTGGACTCTGGAAAGTTCTGCACACATCTAGTCTTCCAGTCTACCTGTTCTTCCCCAGCTCCTGTGAAGATTAGGCAGATTAACCAGCTGACGTAGGCTGTAGCCATACAAAGCGATGCACAGGCATCATTTGTAACCACTATCCATAAGCAACATTTATAAATGAACATCAGATTTGACTGGAATTTAATGAAAAACTATAGGCTATGCTTGACCATTAAAGGAGCTTTTTGTGTGGGAGCTATAATGAAGAGACACACAATAAAGTTTGTTACACATTTAATAGCCAAACAAACTGGATAAAGCCAAACCGTTCTTAAAATGACTCCAGCACAGAGAAAGCAACACAAAAATAAAATCGCGACAGTTTGGAAGGTGACTAAAACATTTGCAGCCGACAAAAGTGGCAGATCAGCTGCAGCACTCAGGTTTGTGTCCGCCTGTGCTGGAAGAACGGGATGTTTAACCAGCTTTAATTACCTGCTGTAATCAGCTGTTCCACTTGTTTCGTGGAGGAGACCCACTTCGGCTCCATGTAGAAACTTCCTGGCGGATGAAAACTTAAAACAACAACTTCGGACCCAGTAATTAGCGTAACTCCATCAGCTGTTCACTGTAAACACACCGCTGCAGCTGGCTGCTATTTCCCAGCTATAAATTTGATGCCGACATATGAACTCAGGCGGACATCGACGAGACTTGTGTGGATAACAAACTGGATAAAACCATCAAGTTCTTAAAATAACTCCAGCACAGAGAAAGCAACACAAAAATTAAATCGCAACAGTTTGGAAGGTTTTTAAAACATTTCCAGTGACATGAGCTGCAGGACTCACGTCTGTGTGGAACGTGGTTAATGCGTGGTTTTTGATGAGCTTAATTACCTGCTGTAATCAGCTGTTCCGCTTGTCTGGGAGAGGAGGAGACTGACTTCAGCTCTGTGTAAAAACCTCATGACTGAAAACTCAACACAACAACTTAGGGCCCAGTATTTAGTGTAAACACACTGCTGCACTCTGGCTGCTATTTACAATATGTATGTAATGTAATGCCAACATACGATCTCAGGAGCACATCTGCGAGACTTGTGTTGCTGCTGATTGTGATTTATTGGTTTGCAAATAAAGGTGGAAAAGAGACGACTAATGACCACTAATGCATGACATATGGGGGCAGAACAAAGACACTCAAACATTTAACACACCAAAGATCAAGTGGCCTTGACCCTAAAATTATGAAATACAAGGCCTGTATCTGAGTGACTTCTAATATTTAGTTTGAAACAACAAATTATTTGAATGAAAACTAATATATTTATAATCTGAGGCCTGACACATTATACTGCGCTAGAGAGATTATTAACCCAAGAGATATGTATACATTACATTTTAGCACCAGAAAAGGCTTTCAATGTACTTGAAAAGCTTCCTTGAAAGAAAACACAACTTCAAGGGGATCAAGTCAGATTTCCAGTTATCTGATTATCTCAAAAGCAGAGACTGAGAATGCTCACTAACATGTAGACATTTTCCTGACTAAGATGTTGCAGCTGGGAGAATCTGCCTTGATTATTTCACGTCTTTCTGAAAGTAAGCACTTCTTTGGCTCTCACTCCTCTCTACCACATCTCTTCTCCCTCTTTTTTCTCTGCTTCATTTTTACTTTCTCTTTGCATCTTCCCTCTCCTGTCTGCTCTGTGTCGTTGCCTCTCTCCCACTCCTTCCCTCCTATCCCATCCTCTGGCCCCTGACAGCACCTCCTTATCACCTCCTGCTGAATGAATGTGCTGCCAGCTCATTTGCGAACAATCAGTGTTGTCGGTACACAAAAGAGCACACAAAGCTGCTCTACTGCTCTCCAGCAAGTTTTTGGATGGCGTAATTACTGAAGAGGAGATTGGAGCTGGGCCAAGATGCAAAACCACAGCGGGGGGGGGGGGGGGGGGGGTGAGGAAAACTGAGAAAGGGTCAGAGAAGCTGAGGGAAGAGAGGAGGATGGTGAGAAAGTACTGGAGGAGGAAAGGAGGCAGATTAAGTGAAGCTCATGAAGCCTCGTGAGCCGGCCGTACGTGACCGATTCAGGAGATGGTTTGCGGGTTTGGTGTGCGATTCGAAAGGAGCAGCAAAATGCAATGGACCCTCCTCAACATTTTGTGGACTTTTGAACTTGAACACAATTAGATTTTATCAACAGCTCATTTGAAATGACTAAAAGAGTTTATCAACTTATGTCAGAATTGCTTTGATCAAATAACTTTGTGATGAAACAGAGGAAAAGAAAGTCTTGACATGTTTTTTTACATTTTGTGGCTTTGGTAAGAATTAAACTCTTACCCCATATTACATAATAATTTTCTAAAGCAGGTAAAATCATCTCCAAAAAAGAAAGGGCCTAAAGCCCAGCACTGTGGAAGTGTTATTTTTAAATAAAGATGAATAAAATGTTGTCTCTATTATCTAAAGTCACAAACTATCATAACCCTCTCCCTTGTTTCCACTTTCCTTTTGACCCTGTCATCGTATCATAAAGACCGACACCTTATTAAAAAGCTAACCAGTCATGTATTGGCATCACGAACATCATTCATTAATTTATTCAATTCAGAGCTTCACACACCAAAGCCATGTTGCCGTTATAATCACTCTGCCTGTTTTACATTTATTGTCCACTTGATGGCACACTAGAGCAAATGAAGCACCGTGAAGCTTCGGCCCATGAGTGAACCAACTGGATGGAAAGCTTCAGTGCTTCATGAAGCTTCATCTCGCCATCACTAGCTAAAACAAGGTTAATAATTTATTACAATTAAAAAAATGTTTATAAGTTTAAAACAGCCTAACTAAAATCCATGTGATGCCACAGATTAAAAAACTAAATAAGAGAGAAATGTCCCATAATTTGCCAGTTCCCAGCAACTACCAGTTCCTCTGGGGATTCCTCCGTCCCACGGCCCAACAGCTCCACGGGTCGCTCCGTCTGCTCCGCAGTCCTCGCCACTCGTCCTACAACAGAGGAAGCACTGGCGAGTAGTGTGCTCATGTCAGTCAACCCGCACCCTATGCCTCACAACCCCGACTCTGCAACCCTCCCCTGCCTGGTCCTCTGTGCCGCCTAACTTGAGATACTTAAACTGTTACTCACTCGCCTGCTGCGGTCGTCTACTCATGTTGCTCCTGGCTCAGCCCGGCGTCTCCTTACAGGCCCCTATAGCGACTACTCCCACGGTTACCTCGGCTGCCGCGCCAGTTCCGTCCGATCAATTACTTCCCCACAGGTCTCTCGTAGCTGCCGTCCTCCTGCTCGATGCCCCCCTGCTCGATGCCCCCCCGCTCAGCGCCCGATGAGCTGGCCGACTTTCCCTGCTGCTCTCTTCTTTCCCTCTTCTCTCCGTCGGACCTCCATCTCCTCTGCCTGCCTCCCTCCCTCCCTCCCTCTCCTATACCGGCCTTCGTGTGTGTAGCCGTTCCTCGATCTCTCACTCTCTTTCTTTTGCCCGTTGCTTCACTTAAAAAGGAGTCCTGTCCAATCTGTTGCCGGCTTCCACACCTGTTGCTCATGGGTAATTATAACGTCAGTGGAGGTGTGAGGTTTAAGGGCAGGGCTTGAAAGTGGCGTTGCCACATGTGGTGTCAGTATGATCAGAAAAATAGTTTCTGCACATAAAAGCAAGTGGAAATAGCTATCAATGTGCTCTGAGCAATAAAACACGTCTTCTTTTTAGATTATACTCACACCAGGCCCAGTTGCCTTGTACCGTGCCCCGCTGGCCTGTGCTCACACTGCACAACTATCCGAGCCGGACCACATTTATGTCATCACCCCAGTGTTTCCCATACACTGATTATTTGTGGCGGCCAGCCACAGTATCAACACCGACCGCCACCTGTTGATTTGTGATTTTTCTACTAGGCCTATTTAAAATCGTATTTGAATGCAGAGCTGCGTGCAGAACACACCTTCGCTCAGCACCTCGTCACGATTGCTTGCTCGCGCCCTCTCTCTCTCTCATGAACACCGCTGCACACAACATAAAGCTTTCAGTGTGGAGATCTACCTTAAAAAAAGTTGTTAGCAAGCATGGAAAGAGCCTAGCTAATAAGGAGAGCTGTGTTAACGTTAGATCACAGCTGGGTTGTCGAGGCACACCTAAAGAGATTGCACTGCAGTGCCTACCAGTTTGCCTTAAGATGTAAGTATATCAGATCAGTCTGGCCTGTTTTCAACCAGACTGATTCGCACTGAAGGGTCGGTAACAAGGTTATTATCATTAACGAAGACGAACAAAATAACGAAAACTAGATGTGAAAAAACATTGTCGTTAACTGAGATAAAAATAAAAATGAGGCTTTAACAAAAAACGATAACTGTGTTGGAGGTTTGCAAAACTAACTAAAATGAAAGAGTAAATGTCCTTAGTTTTTGTTCATTTATTTCTTTATTTTATAGGACCAAATAAGCCTACATTTCAAGTAGATATGAAGCAGGGGAAACTGACGTTGCGGGGCAGTTAGTCGGGGCAGAGCGGCAGTTCAGAGGTGCGCGCGGTGATTAGCCGATAGCCACCTGTTGGTGAGCTGGTGAGTGTGTTATGCTTTTGTCCTCCGCGTGAAGAACGGAGGACAAGAGAGCCCGAGGTCAGGGCAGAGTCTGGCCGCAGCGTAGCAGGTGGCGACCGCTGTTGTGAGGAGAGCCCCAAGTAACGTTGGGGCTAACTTAGTCGGGGAGACCCAGGTAGGGATAGGCTGTCTAGTTAATGGGATTTGAACATGTTTTCTATTATCATTTATACATACATGTGTACAGAATAATTTAAAAACTGTGTAGAGTTATATTTTGATTAGTTTGGGTTGCAGGTAGTGAGTCACTGTCTTGGTGGTTTTCTTTTCGTTGTTTTGTTTTGTTCTGTTCTGATGGTCTGGCTTAGAGCTCATCCTGTGTGAGGGATAAACTTGCCCATTGACTGAGCTTGGCATCCTGCAGCGACAAAGACTAAAACTAATAAAAACTAAACTAAAACTAAACATTTTCCAAAAATAAAAACTAAACTAGCAAACCCACGTTAAAAACTAATTAAAACTAACCTGAAATTGAAAACAAAATAACAAAATAAAAACTAATGAAAAATACAAAACTATAATGACCTTGGTTGGTACACCACAGACGGCGACTTGACCAGCAGCAGATTGGACTATGATATTCAAAGCTGGAAAATTTGTATTATTTCATTAATAAAAATAGTACTAATGATGATAATAATGAATTAAAGGTATTCTTTTTTTGTAGGAGAACAGCATTTAGTGATTACCATACAGTCAATACAGAGACTTATTCAGGCTGTATACTAAACATAACAAAAAAATATTAGAAAGGTTATATGATGTTACCAACCAGGAGATGTGGTCCCAACTTCTCTGTCCTCTTGTCCAGACACATTACCACATCAAGGTTAAATTGTGTCTCTCCTCCTCTGTCTTTCTTTGTTCATCCCCTTGTGGTAAGGCGTAACATCTTCAATAGGCCCCTCCAGGATTACATCATCAATAAGACATTAGCATCCTTATGTTTCATCTCTCTCTCTCTCTCTCTCTCTCTCACACACACACACACACACACACACACACATTTTGATGAGGGCTGCTTGGATGCCTTTTGATGAGACACAATTAGTAAATGAGTAGAAAACATCTCTATAAACAGATGAGGAGGAAAGGCAAGCTGCTACAATAGTGAAGGACAAATGGAAACAGGTGTCTGAAATGGGATGGAAAAGGTGTGTACTTATTCCAAACTTTTGCACACAAATTAAGGGGCTTTTATTATGGTGTTTAAAAAAAACAGGCACATGCACATAAAAACCAGGCATGTGCATGTCTGTTTATAGTTTTGTCTAAGTTAACATCAGACAATTGCAGGTCATCTACGTTTTATGTCCTTAAGGCACGCGTGAAGTTTAGCTAACTGATTGGTTTAATCTGGCTTGATCGATGGACAAAATTGAGAATCACCTGCATAACAATGAAATTTTATGAAGTGTTTCCTGATAATACTAATTAAAGGAAGCATAAATAAGGTGTATAGGATTGGTCCAAGACAGGTCCTTGTGGAACTCCATGACTAACTTTAGCATGAATGAGAGATTCATTGTTAACACTGAGATCAATCTGATAAATAACACTTAGAACAGCTTAGAGCAGTTCCTTTAATGCCAAGTAAGTGTTAATTGCAGTCTCTGCAATAGTATGTGGTGGTCATTGGTGTCGAATGAAGCACTGAGATTTAACAAGACAAGTACAGAGACAAGTCCTTTGTCTGATGCAATCAGAAGGTCATTTGTAATTTTCACCAGTGCTGTTTCTGTGCTACTTGAGCTACTTTAAAGGACTGTGGTACATAGCCTGTTAATAAAGACAGATTGATCATATCTAGTAAAGAAGTGCTGACTGAGGGTAAAACTTATTTTAGCAGCCAAGTTGGGATGGGGTCTAAGAGGCAGGTTGATGGCTTAGATAAAGAAATAATTGGTAATAATAAAGTTATTTGGTGAAGAATGACAGGAGAAAAGCAGTCTAAATATATATAGATGAGGTTTTAGAACTGTTTCAAAGGTTCTGGGTTTGAAGATAAATCATACCGGTTGAGGGTGGGAGAGGATGGATTTTATCTCTAATACTAATGTATTACTACTATTATTATACTATGTGTCTTTTGTTATTAAAGAATCTCACAAGTCGTAACTATTGAGTGCTTTAGGGATGCATGGCTCAATAGGGCTGTGACTCTGTCGGCCTGGCTACAGTGCTGAAAAGAAACCCGGGGTTGTTTTTATTTTCATCTACCTGTATAATGGGGAAACTAAACAACCACTACACAAACGCATGGCTCAACACAGAAGTACTAACTACTCAGGTTAAGACTCAGCAGTTTATTTACATCTCAAGGATAAAGGCCACTCGTTTGAGAAACACCAGGTGCACATTTTGGACAGAGAGGATGCATGGTTTGAAAGAGGTGTTAAGGAAACCATTAACACCCAGGTTGAGAAGCCGTCGTTGAACAGAGGAGGGGGTCGATGCCGAACCAGCGGTATCGACTGTCCTAGCTAACGATCCCACAGAGGTTAAATAGCTGAGTTTCCCTACTAGTCATTTCAGAACTGATGAAGTCTCTTGGATGAGGGACGAAACGTCTTCTAGTATCTTCAACCAAGTCCACTTGCCCTTGACTTTAACCTTGTTTGGATTATTTTCATCTATTAATAAAAAGTAATAGGCTGCTCTGGTATTATGGAAGGCCTTCCTATATGTATAAGACTAAAATGGATCCTTTTGCAATAGACCCAGTCTTCGTCACCTGCGGTTTACCTGCACTTTAGCCTTCCTCCATAGATGGTTCAGATGGCCATCTATGGAGGCAGATGCGAAGGCTTTTGTGTCTGCCAGTCCTGTCTGTGCGCAGAATAATGGGTGAAATCTGGCATTTGACTTTGTTACAGGGCTGTTTCCCTAAGCAAGCAAGTTTGCTCATTTTTTGCCTTTGTTCACCACAGTTCACCTCTGCAGTATGAAAAGCTTTTTGTTCTGCTATCACAAACAATTAAAGACAACCAAAACCCTCTTCATTTCACAATTACTTGGGCAGAATTAACCAAACAGACAAAATCTCTCTGGCCCAAGGAAAGCTTGTGGTCCATACAACTCTAAAAACTAAATAAATACAGCAACCCAGAAATGCAAGGTGAAGTTGTTCAGACACTAGTAACCTCTGTGGCATTTGTGTCTGCATTTGCCAAGGTAAATTACTCTGTAGCACTCTAAATAAAAGAATATTAGATTTCCTTGACATACACACCATCTTGAGTAAAAATCTAACTGGCCTCTACCAAAACCAAACCAAACCCAAAAGTAAGATATTCAGTTGTTTTATTTATTTCAAGAAAGCTTTGAACTATTTGGCATGCAAGGCTCTATTACAGACTTCTATATTGCCCCAGATGTCAGGAGAACCATTACAAATTTACTATAAATAATAAGATCATTGAACATCCAATTCAAACAACTTTATTGATGCCCGTAGGGCAATTCAGTTTTAGTCTGCCAGGTGTTTCAAAGAATAAGATATACTTAACTTGGTATAAGTATAACAGCATCAGGGTGTTTCAACATTGCACTAAATACACTAAAACAAAAATCTTCAAGAACTCTAAATGCAATTAAGAGTAAATGTTATAATTTCCAAACTCCAGTTAAAATTTACAACCCTGTTTCCCAAAAAGTTGGCATGCTACGTAAAATGTAAATGAAAACAAAAAGTGATGATGTGCAAAAAA